GATGATGGCCATGTTGAATGTGAATCTCAACCAGAAGGGTTAATCTCTCAGATATTTCAAAATGTCCTAAAATTTCTACAAAATCCAAATTCCACAAAAATCCAAACGAATCATCAGGCTCTAAGATATTTAAATTTGAAACTAATCATCAAAACATTTAAGGCAAAATTCATCCACCCTCCGTAACAGTTTGCTAGGGTGAACAAGTTAAAAACTACTTCAGCTCACATTGAGCTAAATGCCTAGTCGAAAATATCACTAGGATTCATTCTCAAACAATCTCCTGCCAATAAGGACGTAGTACGTGTCCTCTAACCGGCGGTTTTGCCGCCAAAAGGCACCGCAGGATAAACGGTTATGACCCGGGGCCCTCTGAACCGAGTGGTTTTGCCGCTAAATGACACCACGAAATACCGGTTATGGCCAGCGCTGATACGATCCTTATTGGCATCAAATCATTGAGATATGACTTCAGACATAAGATAGATTGATTAAGGCCATAAAGCCCTCTGTCAGCTAAGTGAGTTTCAAATTGTCCCCGTTAGACAGAATATCACCCCAGGAATCTACAGGGGTCCCTTGGACGAAGCAGACGCCATGGCTGCCAGACAAGGAATGCTTTCTGTCATGTGGGCGTGCTACCTCCTTCTGACTAATGACCAGGGACCCACGATGACCCGCGACGAGCGGAACATGGAATCTTGATCGGTGTCCATCATCCAGTTCCCCCACCATGCCTTAAGTGCAAGGTGGTAAATTGCTATTTAATTAATCTCCAAATCCTAAACAATGTTGCTTACTAATAGCCATATCAACACCTATCTCTACTTAGTATCAATTGATGACATAGCCGTTAATCGAAAGTTCTCTCTCGTTATTCCGGAGGGTAGTAATTATGGGGCTTTCGGGCCTATAGGAAACAGAACTCAGATCATAAAGTCCTCGCGAAAATGAGGGAGAAATCTTTCTGGGTGTGGTTTATCTACAACTCATGCTTCCAAAATTTACCCCGGAACTTAATTCCGTTAAAACTCCCTCGCCGAATAAAAAGAAGAGCGAGCGGAGGCCGGGTTCGAAGCCCACATATGAGTGACACAAAGAGAGAGTTTATCATGTAGGTGAAATACATAAACAAAGAAAAGTTAACCAAGCATTCATTGAGTGAGAAAAATAGGTTGATTTGGGAAACAAATGTTGATGATTGATTCATTGTTGTGAAGTGTAGAAGGTGCATAATTATAAAATAACTTACAATTAGGAACGCATCTCCCCAAAATTGTTTGGGGACATTTATGTGAAATATGAATGTTTGCATTGAGGAGATGATTATTTTATGCTGTACAATTCCATTTTACTTACATGCATATGCACTTGTAGTTTTATGAACAATGCCATTTTTGTTAAAAAAAATAATACAATTGGATTTGCATATATTATGGAGCATTCTTAATGTGCAAAAGTTGCTATTACGAAAAATATGAACTTTAATTTCTTAAGAAAATGGAGGAAATACATCAATGCCTTCTGATCGACATTTTAATAAATATATCCAAGTGACTTGAGAATGATCATCAATAAATATAACAAAATATTGGAACCCTAAGTGCATCAAAATAGGACTTTGACTCCAAATATCATAGCGAACTAACTCAGAAGGAGTGAGACTGTTCGATGTTTATCCAATTCACATGTAGGCCATTGACATTCAAATTTGAATGAAAGAGATGACATTCTTGAAGCCAAGCAGGTGAAGGATGGCCCAAGTTATTGTGCCACTGATAGAGTAATAATGGAGGCAAAGGCAAAAGAAGTATCTGTTTTTAGGTTGTAGATGCTTCCACATTCAATCACTTAATTGTCTTCTTCCATCTAAGATCCTGAAAGGCTAATAGAAGATTGCAAAATTACTTGTGTTCTAGTAATATTGTATGTATAATAAATTTATTCGAAATTGGAGAACATATAACGCATCTGAATAAGGATTTTCAAGGATGAACAATGCCTTTTGTAGAAAGAAAGGATTCGAATGATTGATAATGACGACATGAGGCAAAGAAGACTTGTGCAGTGAAGAAAAGTAAATATTAATTATCTGTTATATGGGAAGATGCTCCTAAATCTAAAACCTATGACATACTAGAAGAGGCATCAACAACAAAGCTTAATAAAGAGATAGCTTGAGAAACTGGAACAATTATTACGTCCTCTGATCGGACGTAGAGCTACGCCGTCAATAACATGTCGCCACGTGCTCTTACTCTTTATCGCGCGGCCCGACGACTTGACCGAAACTGGAACCCGGGAATGCTATGTTCGCGTATTGCGAGGTATTACTCGGTATTTGCTCGGTATTTCTCGGTATTGCTAGGTATTGCTTGGCAATAACAAGAAATACCGCTCTGTGAAGACCAATACCGAGTAATACCGAGCAATACCGAGTTGTGCCGAGTTTTTCTAGAAAAACTCGGCACAACTCGGTATTGCTCGGTATTACTCGGTATTTGCTCGGTATTGCTTGGCAATAACAAGAAATACCGCTCTGTGAAGACCAATACCGAGTAATACCGAGCAATATCGAGTTGTACCGAGTTTTTCTAGAAAAACTCGGTACAACTCGTTATTGCTCGGTATTACTCGGTATTTGATCGGTATTGCTCGGTATTGGTTATTGCCGAGCAAATCGACCAATACTTAGCAATACCGAGCAAATACCGAGCAATACCGGGTCCGTTCTGGGTCGGGTTGTCGGGGCGCGCGGTAAATAGTGAGAACGCGTGGCACGATTTTATTGGCGGCCGAACATAGAGCTACATCCTGTGACCGGACCAAATAAAAGTTCGAGAAACTGAGAGTGGTATTCATCTGTTGAAGCAGTTGATCATATTCATCTTAAAAGATAATAACACCATATGAATGCAATAACTTGGAGTTATCTATGGATATGTGTTGGACAATCGAAGGATAACCACAATTTTCCTAAAATCATGTATGAGTGTGATTATTGTGGTTACAATGCATAGATGGGGTAAAGAGGATTTTATGGCCATGTCCATAACTTCTTTGTCTTCCTCGACTTTGACCACCTCACTTGCCTTGTGAAGTAGTAGCAAGGGCGGATTCATCATGGACCGAAGAAGAGATTTGATATTTTAGTTATGCAGAGAACACGAGATAGAACGCTAGCGATGTTTGGTACAATGGAATTAGCCAATCATTGAGGTTATATATCCTGAAGAGAGGATGAAGAGTATAAAGGAATTTTGCAACCATGAATTCTTCTTTCTATTTTTGCCAAAGAACAAAATGAATCTGATTTCACTCTTAATGTGTTATAACACTATTGAATTGGCTTGTTATTTTGTTGAATAGAAAAATAAGGACAAAATAACATGTAGATTTGGGATATATTATTATCTTTAACAATAAGTGAAACGAAGTCCCACATTTTCTGGTATGCTTTGAAACATGACTGTATAATCAATGGATGGTTCAGGATTGTTGAGGAGCCAACTAGGAATGACATAATTGGAATCTTTCCATTTGGTGACCTTCAGTGTCTTATACGGAGAATGGGCATCAATTTTGATAGAAGTTATTGTGTCATCTGATGAGAGATTGAAAAGCTCTTTTCTCACTGGAGGTAATTGGTATTATTAATCTAATGATGACACCAACAGAGGAGGATTGTCTCAGGAAGAGGAGAAATAGAAGTCATAACATTATAAGTAGAGAAAAAACGAGGAGAAAGTTAAATCGTGAAGATGGAAATGTTATGTCTTTACTGCTTATTTAGTAAGCGAGTCCTTGTAATAAGAGAATGCGAAAGAGGCCAAGGGTGGTATCCACTCTGAGAGCTACAATAGGAGCGAGGATACTATTTGTTGCATGCACGGTAAGGTCGCATTATGAGCATGGTAGGAGTATTTTGAGTGGGGCTCGGGATTGCAAGAAATGCAATACCAAGTCAATCCAAACTGAGAGAGGGCATGAAAGGTCCCGAGCGAGGTCCCAAGCGACAATATGAAGGGTCTAGAGTGATGGAAGAGACACTAGCAAGATTTTGGGCAAATGTAGTAGAAAGCCGAGGCTAGGGGGCGGCGGTTGTGGGTTAAGGTAATGGGACAGAGAGTGTTTGATGTTGTAGGAGTGCAAGCGGGCATGGGAGTCGAGATTGGGAGAAATTATTACATGCGGAGTCCGGACGTAGAGTTACGTTTGGACTTCAATAAAAACGTGACACGTGTCTTTGTACACAGTGTATATTATGTATATAAGTTTGTACACACTATATACATAATTTTGTAATTTGTGCATGGTGTGTACAAGAACACGCGTCATGTTTTTATTGGAGTCCGGACGTATCCGGACTCTGCATGTAATAATTTCTCTGAAATTGTAGTGTGGGGATTGGGAGCGCTCCAGGCGACGGGAGAAGAGGGAGGAGCCGCTACTAGGGTGAACTTTGTGTTACTATGTTTTTGGGGGATAATTGGATAAATACTATTTGTTGAACAATTATGTCTATTTATAAGCAAATAGATGAATACAACAATCAAAATAAACGATAGAATAAATCTTATTAAGGTATAATAAAAGAACGTTTTTCAAAATTATTAGCATCATATGGTAACATTTTGAATGGGAGTATATTTCCCATCTTCCCAAGATTACATAGTCTCCTACTTTAGCATTCTAACACACTGGCCCTGGACTTCATGTGTTCATTCTTCATTCACATTTGTTCATTAACACAGTGTGATCTCGCTCTCAGAATTTAATCATTAATGTTCTTTAGCTGAACATTTTCTGAATTGTTCATTCACTGTTACTTTGATTAACTAAAACGTTTTTAGAAACTTCTCAGTACATGATATGTATAAAATGCACTTTTCAAAGCTAATAGAATGCGTGGGCATGATTTTATGTACTAATCTTGTCATACTTTGCTCTTAATATAAATTTTATATGTACTGATGTTATGCTAACTTACACACAAGCAGCTAACATTCGGGACATGCAAAACATAGGAGTTTCAACACCAACTCTGCAGGAATGGTGCAGCGATTATGCTTGATTTAGGCTTCGTTTGGGATAGCTTTCATCTTGCTTTCTAAAACAACATTCTAGTATAAAAATTTATAGTTTAAGAATTTTTTGTATTAAAAAATTATTTTAGAAAGCAGCAAGAAAGCCGTCAAAGCTTCGTTTAGGATGACTTTCTTACTGTTTTTTAAAGAAACTTTCAAACACAAACTTTTAATTTTTGTACTAAAAAACTGCTTTAAAAAATAGTAAGATAGCCATTCCGAATGAAACCTTAGTCTCATAGTTTTGTTCTGCTGATCAATTGTATAGTTAGGTGATTGTCTTTATTCCAGGTTATTAGTATCTTTATACTGCTATGTTTGGATGTTTAATTATTGATAAATCATCAGATATTTCATTTGATCAAACAAGGATCTTGACTCAATATTTAAATTAAAAAACTTGGGAATTAAATTTTATATCATTTGAATTCTAATTTTAGCTAAGTTATAGTTTAAATAAACATTTCAATGAGAGGAGCCTATCCATGTCCAAATGAATCTAAAGCAAGCACTTGATGCATAATTTAAAATTTTATGAAATATTTGTGGGAGCAAGTTTCTTGGAATCTCATAAGCTTACAATTAAAATGTGTTTTTTGATGAGAGGAATTTAACAAGTTTAATATTACTCAATTTCGATGTCATTAAGACACTTATATGCATGATTAGTTCTTAATCTTAAGTTGGAGAAAGCTTAGAGATTTGAATAATTCTAAAGCTTTGTATGTCGATTGATGCTAACAATCATTGCTAGCAATTACTATCTAACAACAGATATTGCCTTACTATCACATCTTGACTTTTACCCTAAACATCTACTCATGTTTATTTTTGTTGATTGTCAACTGACATTGATGTCTGTCATCCCTTGTTACTTCTCAAGTCAACCATTCATATTTTGTTATATCATCTTCTACAATCTTCATCTATTTATTGAAATATTTAATTATGCTAATCCTCATAATTTTTTTTTTCTTTGAGCTTTCCCCATAAATATTGTTGCTTCTTAAGAGCTTATTTTATGTACATGTGTGCAAGTTTTTATCAATAGTAAGATATGAAAATTTTATTTTATTACTATTAAATTTTCAACACCTAACAATAAAGCAACAAAATTTTATAATCCGACTTCTTAAATTCTCATTATATGGTTTTTTTAGTAGGGTTGCAAACGCACCAAATCAAGTCGGGCAGGTGATTGTTTATATTTGAGCTTGTTTATTATTAGTTTGTTTAAGCTCTCTTCAGCTTTTCTATTTGTGATAGATATTTATGTTTAGTTTATCTTCAGGTTCATTTTTACTTATCTACCTTTAAACAAATGAGCCTTATCGAGCCATTAATGAATTTTACTTTTTAGATGTTCATTAGTTTTACAAACGAGCTGTATTGAGTCTACTGGCAAATAGTTACTGTAAAGCTTGTTCGCTAATATATATAGTGAGCATTTTTGAGCTATAAAATGAACTCTTTCATTAATATTTCTAGCGCATGTCTTTTAGCTACCAAATGAACTTATTCACAAACAACCAAGCTCAGAAAATGTTGCTTCATATAAAGAAGCTTCTTCCACTTTAACGTTTGATTTCTCTTGTATGGATTATATAAATAAGGTCTACAAATGAACAATAAATACTTAAATACAAGGTTAGATTTTAATAGAAGTTTGGAAATGGGGATGGCGATTGTTGGTGTTGGTCGAACAGTTAATACCCAACCATAGCTTTAGATTTTGACACAATTTTAGAAATGATGTTAGCGATTGTTGGTGGTGTTTATCGGTGACGATAATGACTGGCGGCGGTTTCGATGGTGATTGGTGGTAATCGTCGGCGGTGATAGCTAGAAAATACTGAATAAGACCTTATTTATAGCTTTTTTTGAGATGGACATTTTGGTAAATTGGGTTAGAATCCAAAAAACTCTATCATATGTTTCATATTGATTCACTTGATCATGAAATATTTTCTCAGCAATTAAGTATCTTAATGATGTTGAAATTATAAGTGATTTTTGACTTGTTGGATTCGTCTCGTCAAGTTGCTCAACTTTACTTTAAGCATGTTAGAATTATAAGCCGTTTGATTTATAAATTTATGTTCAGAAGTTTTTAAATATAATTCAAGTGTTTGATTTGAGCTCATTTGAAGTCGGATGAAATCATTTATAACAACAATAGCTTCGTTTCGTTGAGACATTCTGAACAACTATAAGTTTACTCAAATCAGATTTTCGATGATCTTGAATTTAATTTTGGATGTTTCTAATTCAAATATTGCATCGAGTGTCATGCCAATCATGTGAATTTTTTAGTCGCGTCATTTGCCTCCTTATTTTTAGACGTCGAAGTTTATTACACTAAAAAATGTATTTGAAATATTTAAAAGTTTTATTGCACAAAATTAAAATTTTGGAAAATTTTGTGGGTTGGGGCCTTATAAAAAATTTAATTATCTCATCTTTGTTGGCAATGAAATGAAGTTTTTCTTCCATATGAAGTCACTAGAAGTCAGTCTTAGGTTTTGTTTGAGACAATTTTTCTACTGTTTTCTAAAGTAAATTTTTAATACAAAAAGGTCTAATTTTTTTTTTTAAATATACTAAAAATTAGTAAGAAAATTATCACAAATGAAATCTTAATCCTTTCTAAGGATCCCATTTGGCTGCTTAAAGATTGAAACTATGCTTTCTGTTTTATAAATGATGAAACCTTTCTACTGACAACTGGTGTATTTCTCTAGTGAAATTCTTGAAGAATGGCATTCATGAAATGTAATATGAAAGGTCATTGTTATAGAAATAACTCTCTTAATTTTACAAAAAATACATTAAATTAAGATTTAAATCAATCTTAAAAAAACAAACCTAGTTCCAAGCATTGCTGCTAATTAAATGGTGCACTCCAAAAATGACATATTCATGATCTATGTATTGAAGAAGAGTCGAGCTTGTTAGCAAACTTGTTATCGAGCTTGTTCACGAGCCTTAAACGATATTTTCATGAACTTAAGCAAGTCAAATACATATTTGTTCAAATTTGTTTATTTAACCATCCAGTATTTAAAAAACAATCAAGTTTATATGATTATTTAATCAAATGATTAAATGATTACGGAGGAGATGTGATCGAGCTGAGCTACGGCTAGCTTATCGAATGCTTGATTCTTTTGCAATCTTAAGCTTTGTTTGGGACAAGTTTGGTCCTGTTTTCTAAAATGATTTTTTAGTACAAAAATTTTGAATTCAAAAAAATTTTATACTGAAAAGTTGTTTTAGAAAATAACAAAAAAATTGTCTCAAATGAAGCTTAATGAAACATTTTTACTAATTAAGATTAAATAGTTTATTTATATGACCTAATTAAAATTAACTCATAATGAATTTCAAAGTGACTAACTTTATTTTGAAATAATTATAATATATAATTAATAGATTCAAATTTATATTATATTTTTATTAAAATGAATTTCAGTATTGCTCGCTATTGTGAAGTATCAAACTCAGTACTTCATAGTACCGAGTTTAGTATTACTCGATACTGTTAAGTACTGAACGGTAAGCTGTGTCCGGTGTCCAAACCAATAATCTCTCGTGGTTGACGGCCACCATAAAAGATAAAATGTGGATACATAAAATGGAGAGATTGTAATTCGATAGTGTGACAAATGACCGAGCTATTATGCATTCATGCAATTACATTCATTGGCACCAAATAGTAGATGTTTAGAACAAATTAATATCTGATAGGTTAAAATTGCATGCTGTTTTTAAGGGGCAAATGATCGAGCAGCTGGAGAGCATCTAAATAAACACATTTTAATAGGTAACATATCAGATTATTTCTTAAAATGCAGTACGTGAGTGAAGCAAACAAGATTGCATTTTTAAATGTCGACTTCATGATTTCTCTATGACATTTATAAATGAAATTGAACAAGTATTTTTATTACTGTGCCAGTTATACTGTTCAAACCTTAGTATGATCAACAGCAAATGCTTAAGTTGCGTAGGTAAACAGTGCAACGCTGATACTGACGTCGCACTTTTCACTCTCTACCGATTAGCAATTTTTTTGCCGTTTGAATGGAGCAAACTAGCTGCACCTTACCGTCGTTTGGAGTTTGGCTAGAGATACCTTAGAAGGGGATTAAAATGTGAGATGAATGTTAGCATTTAGTGTTGCTGCTCATCTTCAGGACGCTTGTAAGGGCATCTCCAACCGAAAACTCTATTTTTCACTCTATAATGGCGGAAAACTTCAAAATGCCGCAATTCATCTCCAATGGAACTCCATTTCTCTTCTTTCCCGCGCTCTCTTGTTTCCCGCCTTTCCCGCGAAGCGAAAAAATAGAGCGATTTTTTTGGCATAGGTGAACAGTCCGACGCCAATATTGGCGTCGGACTGTTCATCCGCATGCCATTGACGTATTTTTTGGCGATCCATTGGAGCAAAAAGCCACTCCATACACGCGACTGCAGTTCGGCTGGAGAAGCTCTAACGTAGAACTATGTTGATGGATTAATATAGAAGTTTGGGAAGGTTGGGACTTAGGGTGCGTTTGATTTATTTAAAGTTTTTAAAAGCAATTTTTTATATAAAAATAATTTTTTTTAACTAAAATATTGTTTTAAAAAACAGTTTCCACACTAACCCTTAATCTTATTTCTCTATCTACAGATGCTTTCAGTTTTCAGACACTTGTTCCAGATTTAAAACATTCCATAAATGCAGCTTTTGAAAGCCCCAAAGCACCCGAGAAAATGGAGATTTAACTCCGGCCATCGGTGAGAGCGAATGCGGGGACGAAAGGGAACAAGTTCAAACAGGAAGGTGCTTTCATGCAGACGGGAAAGGGTTACCTGCAGCAAACCAGCGAGAGACGAAAGGGAAGAGTTCTAGTTTCAAGCAGCTGAGGGGTTTGATCAGCGATTTTTAGCGGAGCTGGGAGTGCTGGTTTTTAAGATCTATATAAGTAAATATAAAATTTTGAGAGAGATGTATAAGTACTTGACTTTAAAATGTTACGTATGTAAATGACCTTTTCTTTTCTTTACATTTTGCTGCGATGGAACGCAGGCGTGAACGACATCCACTGCCGGCCGATCGCCACGAGCTGGCCAGTTTTTTTAAGTCGGGCCTCAATCACCACCGCTGTCAGCTTCCCCTTATCCTCCACGATCTTTGCCTCGATTTCCACCTCATCCTGCTCCAAAATCCAAACCCCCAAATTAAATAACCAAACGAGAGAAACAGAAGAAAGAAAATAAAAGAAGCGTACGCCGATCTTGGCACGTGAGAAGAACGATATGCTAAAATCGACGGAAATCTTGATCTCGCCAACAGCCGACATTATTGCCGCCGCGCCAATGTCGTCCATCACCGTCGCGATCGCCCCCAGATGCCAATTCCCCTCCTCGTCCTGCCATCACCGAATCACAGATCGATCTCAGAAATTAGGGTTAGGGCGGAAAAAGAGGCCGGCAGTGGAATTACTATATTAGGTTTGTAAGATTCTCAACCGCAACAGAAGCATGAACGCGGTAAGAGCAAAGAGCACGACCGCCGCCGGTGAACGTGAGATGGAGACTGGTAAGGGGGATCGCGTCGAACAACTCGCCGTTCCAGGGATCCATGCTTCCGGCGGCCGGAGATTTCACTACAATGCCTTCGATCCATTTCCGCACAGCCGCCTCCATTTTGGTTGACGACGGAGGTTCGCCGGCGTCTGCGGTCGGCGACATTGACGGATTCTTGCGACCAGCCATTTTCTTCCTCGGAGAAAACCTGGGGCGAAGCGAAGAGCTGGAAAGCGAGGATAGGGCCAGAAGGTGAATTTTGTATATGGAACAAAGGGAAATTTTCAACCCTGCGGAAAAAAGAAAAAGAAAAATATGTTTGACTAATAAAAAATAGTTTTTTTAAAGCATTTAGGTTATTATGATAAATTTACAAATATATCATATACTTAATACTCAAATTTAAGGGGCTGTTTGGCAGCAAGTGAGATTTAACTTTAGTGGGATTTAATAAATCATGTAAATTCGAATTTAGTAAATCTGAAATGTGTTAAATCCTAAAAACTGTTTGGTATGTTGAATGTTAAATCTTGTTAAATCTTGAAAAATTGTTTGGTAACATATATCAGGATTTATGGCGGTTAGGAATTTAAGTTTAAAGGAGATATTTATGAAATTAAGATCATTGCATAAAACATAATAAAATCAATTTTAGGTCATATAAAATGACCAAAAATTCAATAAAAAGTTAATTACAAACTAACATGGACGAAAATGAGAGTTGAAATATTAAATAAGCTAATTATATTAATATTTAATTACTAATTATATCATTAATTAATCAATTAAGTTAAATTAGATAATTAATTTATGCACTAATTATACTATTAATTATTTAATTAAATAACTTAATTATTATTTGTTTAAATTATATAAATTAAGTTAATCGATAATAATTTTGAGGCGTCTAGGGTTTGTATTTCATCTTTTCTTTTTGTCGTTGTTGTTCGGCTTCGTTGATTCGCAGGAGGTGTACAGATTGCTCGCGTCGCTACTTCAGTTCCTTCGCGGCTGTTCGACTTCGCTCCTTCGGCTTCGTTTATTAGCAGGAGGTGTACAGATTGCGCGCGTCGCTACTTCGGTTCCTTCGTGGCTGTTCGACTTCGCTCCTTCGACGACTTTCCCTTCTTGTCGGATCGGAAGTTACGACATTTTGATCGAAAGCAACAACAAGAGCTTAACTTTCTCCCTTTCGCGCGCTTCTAATGTTAAATCCTGTTAAATCCACCGAACCGAGGGATTTAGTAAATCCGAGATTTACGGAATCCCGGGATTTAACGCGCGCACAAAAACCGTTTGGCTGGATTTAGCATAAATCCGACTTAAATCCCACGATAAATCCGATACCAAACAGCCCCTAAGACCTCATAGTTATTAATCAAAACATTCTAACTAACATATCATAATAAGCTATGTAAAAATATAGTTATTAAAATATAAAAGGATCATTATCTTCTATAAGGGAGTTCGTTAGATATGAAATTAACAGCTCAAAATATTCATCAACATTTATTCACCCTTGAAAATCGCTCTCTCTAACTTCTCTCTTTTTCCCGGCAAATTATTGCATCCGGTCACCGGACGCGAGATAGGTCCGGATATTAATAAAATATTATTTTAAAGTAAGCGCAACTAAAGCGCAGGTAAAGCGCAAGTAAAGCGCATGTCAAAGCGCAGTCAAAAGCGCAGGTAAAGCGCAGTCAAAGCGCAACTAAAGCGCAAGTCAAAAGAGTAGTCAAAAGCGCAGGTGACGTGGCAAATTTTTATTGGATGTTCGAACCTATTCTTCGCGTCCGGTGACCAGATGCAAAAATTTGCCCTTTTCCCCACCCATACACTCTATAAGTTCTCCCGCTTTTGAGATGATGGAAATGCATAGAAAGCAGTTACTTAGGGTTGTTTTAACGGAAGTAAAATGGGTATAAAATATTTTAAATGTAAGAATTTTGAAAATATTGATGTTTGGTTGAAGAAAAAAGAATGTACAGTAAAAAAAGTGTAAACTATTAAGTTTATTTTTTAGGTAAAATAAATTCGTCCTAATTTTGATCGATAATTGTTTACACTGCAAGCAAGCTCATTTGACATCCGCTACCACCCACAACTGTTGGCCATCGCCATCGGCTGCTGGCCACTATAGCCGTCACCCTACCGCTAGGCACTAGCCACCACTGTCGACCACCATCTTGGAACTTTACACTACATTCATTTTTTCAAAAAAAAAAAAAAAAATCAGCTTCATTTTACTTTACACTCCTCCAAACAAATTCAAAATATTCCTTTTATAATGTATTACTTTTATATTGCATTTCTTTTATAATAAATTCATTTTTAGCCAACCAAATGGGAGATTTGATATTGATAAGATTTTTTTGGAATTAATTAAACTATGAATATAATGATAATTATTAAAACTATTTAATTTTATTAAAATTTTCATATAATTTATTCAAAATTTGAAATCAAAATTTCTAAAAAATTATAACAAAATAGTCTTTAAATACTAAAACATATTTGGAACACTCTCTTGAGGACAATTTACCATATGGATAAAAGAGGACTCTATAAGATCCATTTGCTATTAGATTCATTTGTATGAATACATGTAAGCTCTTTAAGGAATGCAAATCAATTAAGCATCATCCTATTACTTATCTATAATAGTCATAAAATATAGTAAAAATATACATAAAATAGAACTTTAAATGCTCTACTATATGGTGAAGACTGTTCGTAAATCCAATATAAAATTAATTCATAAAATAATCCTTTGGAGAGAATTGTACTACTATTGGAAAATAATTTTTGTGTATTATTATATGAATATTAGAATTATTTCAAAATATATTTTAAGAGTTGTCATAGAATATTTTGTTAATCAAATATAGATCTATATTGAAAAAATCAAAGAAAATAAATATTTCGAGGATATTATAAAACTTTTACTAGATAGAACTATACATATAAATATTATAACTTAGCTCACTCATTCTCCCACCTTTTAAAGAGGCAATTTTCTTTATAGCCATGTAAGATACTCCTATCACTAGGCAAATGTTAACTTGCTTTGGCCAAATGGGCTTTATTTGGAAGAGGAACCACTTGGGACCAAAATGACAACATGACAATTTTTTTTTATTAAAAGTATATTAATGACCTTATTGCTTCATTATTTGACTCTATAATAATCTTCTTAACTAAAAAGATCATTGTTGTGTCTTAGAGCATTCATGGCAGTAGAGAGATAAAAAATTTATCGTCCTTGTTTTGAAAGAAGATCAAATAGACATACAAATAAGGAAAGAGGGGTGCAAGAGTTATACGAGACGTTATAATTTTTAGGTGAAAATCTCTCAAATGGGAGAAAAACTACGAGACAATTAGAGGGTGTGCAAATGATGATACTCAAGCAAGGGGTCGATAATGCTTGTAAGGATGTGAAGAGCTAACGACAGTGGTTGAGATGCAAAGGGCCAATAATAGCCATAAGGCGAAGAGCCGATGATGATAGTGATAAAGTTGCATTCTATTGAAGGCAATAAGCATCAATATTTATAGGGGCATATTAAAGATAGACTGATGGAAGGGGTCGGGTTGGTGTGCCATAGTAGCAGTCTAGCAACACACTAACAATGCTAAGTTAGAGAGAGATGCTTCAAAATCTTGTGTAAAAGAAGGTCAAGAGAAATCCATCGAGGATGTATTGCCTATCAGATGTTATTTATCAAAACAATGCTTAATGATGTTAACGAGCATTAAAGAGGTTGAGGAAATCCACTAAGGGTATTTAACCTATCCAAGATTATTTGTCAGAGCGCTACTTGATGACATTAACTTGCAAGGAAGAGATTGAGAGAGATACACATGGGATATTATTTATTTATCACCAAGGATGTTTGACCTATCTAAAATTATCAAAGCGTTACTCGATGATGTTAACTTGTGTGGAAGAAGACGAATAGAATCCCCTTGGGATTGATTATGCTTTAATTGGGCGGGGGTGATCCCAAATTGAAGGAGAAGATTGGTCTATCATTAGACCATTTTTGTATTTTCAAGGTCAAGACTATTACCTTTCCCAAGAAATAGAAGTTCAGTTGGAGACTATATAGAGTTTGTAATTCACATTAAGCTTTCTTGCATTTGTTGGAAGTTGAATAATAGAAGGTTGCTAGTAAGATTAGTTTTTGATATAAAAAATATTGGAGGGACTTGCTTAACCACAATCGTATTTTAGATTACAACCAATGTTGCCCCCAAGTCTAAATCTACTTCCCATAAAATTGCAGTGATACTTGTTAGTTGAAGGGAGATAAAAAAAATGCATGTTTACTATTGCAATAAGCTTGCCCTTAATATTGAAGGACTTTTTAAGACCTTTCAACAAATCATGGTAAAGGGACTATCTTGCGATAACCGTGCATAGGACATTGATGTGCATAACCTTTTGAAATTGTAGCAAAAGTTGCCCCATTTCCATAAATTGTTTCCCTCAGACGACGCCAAACTATTGCATCCTTGAACATTCACAAAGATAGAGAGATAAAGAGCTTAACATCCTAGCTTTAAATGAAGATCCTACACAAATACATATATAGAGAGGGGTGCAAGAGTTATAAGAGATGCCATAATTTTTACACATAAAATATAGAAAAAGGAAGAAAAATCACAAGAGTTTGCCCAATTGAAATGAATCAACTAATGTTTATTATTAATTACAAATGATGTCTGTCCTCAGGGGGAAGGCATTAACTTAATGTTGCAAATATATATCATATAGAGAACTTTACATGATTGAGGTCAGACGAACCCATGTTATAAAAGACATCTAAAGAGAGTATTGGCTTGCTTATTTGGTTGGTAGGAGTGTATTTGGACGATAAGATTGAAGGGGCCATAGACGGCAAGTGATGGAGGTCAAAAGGATCGTAGTTAGACGATTGTAATCATAGGGACCATTGTCGATGGGCAATGAAGGTCAGAGGGATCATGGTCGGTGGGCAATGAAGGTGAGAGGGACCGTAGTCTGCGAACGACGGAGGTTGGAGGGGTCATAGCCGGCGATCGACGAAGGTTAGAGGGATCATAATAGATGGACGATGGTGGTCAGAGGAATTGTAGTCGATGGGATGTGGTGGTTGGAGGAGTCGTAGTCAGACGACGATGGTTGGTGGGTGACAGAGGTCGAAGGGACTATAGTCGATGGACGACAAGGGTCGGAGGGACCATAGTCGATGGGCGACAAGGGTCAGAGGAACCATAGTCGATGGGATACTAGGGTCAGAGGGGCCATAGTTGGCAGGACACTGTGGTCGGAGCGAGAGCCTTCAATGACACTTGGATGTAGGTTTGATGACGATGGTCAGGTAGTGGTCTAATAATGACAGCAGACATTGAGGGTGTTCGCTGGCAGTGTTGCCAGGGTAGAGCTTTAGGATTCTTCAAGGCTAAGAGCTCCTTGAGTCTCTAGCCTATGGTCTAAGCTTTCTACAAGTCTAAGGCCTCTTTGATGTGAGAAGAGGGTGTCTATTTATAGATTTTAAGAGTGACATGCCTTATAAATCTGCAGAAGATCTAGGACAAATTTGGATGCTCCATCATATGACTCATATTGATCCTTATGTCATAGAGCATTCATTTTGCATTTAAGTACCTCAATGATGTTAGAATTAAGTATTATTTTTGTTAGAACATAAAAAATATTAAAAATTTTATGAACTAGAAAGCAAATTTTTTTCTTCCAACCGTATGTTCTCTTAAAGCAATGCTTCTCCCACCCAAACTAATTCAATATTTTAAATAAATTATATATATAATTCAATCACTCGTATCCTTATAATTTAATTAACTAAAAAATAATTTTTCATTTTTATTTTTATGATAAATAATCAGTATAAATAAGGATACAGCATATTAATTTAATGAAGCCAGAGCTTTTTTTTTTTTTTTTCCGACTGTAAGCGCTGCATTTGATCTGCAGTCTCTCTCTCTCTCTCAGAGCTTCCAGCGGAATGCTCTCCCTACGCCAGTATCTTTCCTCCTCGCAACTAGTACCCAAAACCCTAAATCCTCGAATACATCCCATCTATAAGCGACTCCACCGCTCCATGGGTGTCTCCAGCCTCAAGGTGGCATGGCGCAAGGACGCCACACTAGACGCTGCCATCGAGCGCGACAAACGCTTCCGCCTCTGCTCGCGAGTCGTCCGCGAGGTCCTCAACGAGCCCGGTCACCGGATTCCCCTCCGCTATCTTGAGAAGCGCCGCGAGCGCCTCAGACTCCCCTTCCGGGCTAAGACCTTCCTCTCACGCTTTCCCAACCTTCTCGAACTCTACCCCGACCGCATCAAGCCCTCTTCCCCTCCCGTCCCCTTCCTCCGTCCCTCCCCCCGCCTACTCTCCTTTCTCTCACTGCAGTCCTCCATCTATTCACACCTCGAGCCTCTCGTCCTCTCCAAGGTCTGCAAGCTTCTCATGATGTCCCGCCACCGCGCCCTCCCTGCACACAAGCTTTTTTCTGTCAAGCGCGACTTCGGCCTTCCCGACGACTTTCTTGTTTCTCTCGTTGGACGCCACCCCCATCTCTTCCGTCTTGTTGGGGCTGGAGGAGACCACCTGGAACTCGTCTCTTGGCCGGAAGAGTACGCCAGATCGGTCATCGAGCATCGCGCAGACGAAGAGTCCCGCATCATCGGCGTTCGCATGCGGCCCAACTTTGCCATTCGCCTCCCCAAGGGTTTCTACCTCCGCCGTGAAATGCGGGAGTGGACACGGGATTGGCTTGAAATTCCCTACATCTCACCTTATGAAGATGCCTCCAGGTTGCACCCGGCCTCACCGGAGATGGAGAAGAGGAATGTGGCAGTCTTCCATGAGTTGCTTTCACTATCAGTTTTAAGGAGGATGGCCGTGCCGGTTGTGGGCAAGTTCTCTGAGGAGTACCGCTACTCCAATGAATTTGCTAACACGTTCACCAGGCACCCCGGGATTTTCTATGTCTCCCTGAAAGGCGGGATCAAGACTGCGATGCTCAGGGAGGCTTATGATGAACACGGGGAGCTGGTGGACAGGGATCCCTTCCTGCAAATTAAGGATAAGTTTATGGAAATGATGGAGGAGGGGCACAGGGAATGGATGGAGAGGATCAGGAATAAGAGGGAGGCTGTTCAGAAGGATTTGGAGTTGATGGCGAGGAAGAATGCTGAGCTGTCTGTCGGCGATTATGAAACTTGTACTGGTGAGAATAATCAGCGACATTATGATCTTGCGTTGATGGACGATCTAACTTGTTGAGCATTTTATTTTCCACTAATTTATTTTATTTTTCAATGTTTTAATGCTTTAGTTGACGCTCATCGCCGATAGAATTAAAATATTTCTTATTTCCGCTTAATTTCTTCATCTTGGATAAAAATAACACTTTTCATTATATTGTGTATTCCTCTAACTCTTTAATCTATTTTTTTTTAGTATTAGGAGCGTTAATCCGCGTTTACAGTAGGGGTTCTTATTTTGTATTAGACTTTTGATTTTAAAGAACAAAAATCTTCTCCTATAAGAAAATTTCGGTCAACCACCTTATTCAGTTAGAAATTTCCACTCAAGGATATTATGTGCTTTCTTTATATCAAAATTGTGCAGATGGAATGCCTCCAAACTATTTATGCAAAATTTATATTAGTTATATTTCTTAGTTATAGTGATCTCTTTATGTTCGATGAAATGTCGTCAAAGGGAACTCCAGAGTTTTTATTCAAAAGACAAAATATTAGAGAATTAAAAGATGCCTTTGGTTATAATATTTTTTCTTATTTTTAAACCTCATTCAGGCTTACCTCTTACATCGAGGAGATCATACAATTTATATATACCCTGTTAAGTTTGGGTTTAAGAACTATTCAAATTATAAAGTATACGTGTCTACCTCCTCTTCAAGGGCATATGCAACATGCTTGGAATTCCTCTTGACTATAGGACATGCATCTGTTTTTGAATAGGAAGAGTACAACCACATTGATCTTGGTTTTTCATGTTATTACACATTCATTTCACTCTGAAATTGGCTAGCTCAAATTTACTCTAAACTTGGAGTTAGGCTGAGTCCTCTAGTTGTGTAGAACAGGGATGCTTTGATGATTATATAATTGACTTGATGATGTAAAGTTTTTGTTGTAGTTATTCTAGTTTAGATGGTCACTACATAGCTGATTAGAGATGCGGTCAAGTACTATAAATCATATTTTATATTACCTTTTTGGTCCCAACTAGTTTCTCATTCAACTAAAGCTCATTTAGCTGAGCCAAGTTAACCTTTGCTTAGTGACCTTTGTTTCTTTTCTAACATGGCTAAGTGATTAATTCTTGGAAACTGGAAGGACTAGTGACCTAACTTAGTTTCCCTATTTCAAAGCAAGTTAAAGTAAGTAAGCAAGGTTTCTCCTATGCTCTCTCCCTTAAGGTGACGCAACCTTTCTCTATTTAAGCTACTCTTTTCTTAGTCAATCCAACAACTTAAAAGGCAAGTCATTGTTAACATTATCAAGCCATCGTAAACTTCTAGCATCAAGATGTATCTTCCCGCTTCCATGTACCAGTTAATTGATGTTATTACCAAATGGTCCTCAAATTTACAAGATATCTAAGTTTGATAACAATCACCTAGCATCAAAAACCAAATAAAAGAAATATCATCACCACTCACCATAAAAAAAATTTCTTGAAGAGACCTAAAACTATGCTTAAACTGAGGCCTTCCCTTCATCCATGACCCTAATTGTTCCCTCACTAGCCTAAGCCCTTCTCCACGGCTCCACCAATTGCCCATCTAGCTAAACCAACCAAAAATTGAGCAGCATTTATTGTTACCCAAAAATCACTTCTTCAAAAGCCATTATAATACTAACATTTTCTATCTTATAACATGCTCTCAGAATACATTGATATCAAAATACTATTCCCCTACTAATTTCCCAAGCATGAAATACTTTTTATCAACCTTTGTAGCATGCTTATTTTACTGCGGGGCCATTTGCATCAATATCTGCCGCTATATTTTATTTTTTGTAAGGGCTCCTTCACATAATTAAAATCAATGATTAGAATATACTCCAGCCAGTAATACTTGAAATCACCTGATGCTTATGGGTTGGTGGATGCCTTGCTATCAAATCGTATATCTGCTGGAAATTAAGAAGGAAAAATTTTAGGAGGGGTCTGAGATATAAACTTAGGAAAAGCAAATTTTGGAATATTTGGAATTTAAAATTGTAAATATTTGAGTGAATAAGAAGAATTAATTTAGACTCTCAAATGTATTATATTCACACGCATTTTGATGCATGCGTAGGAAATGGCCATCAGATATTCAGATGATTGGAATCTAGAAGCGTCCTTGATTTATGTTGTCCCATGGAAGGCTGGCTATATGTTTTTTGCATCACTTTACAAGTAGTTTGTGATGCAGTGTATATTCATCGCGAACAAGATATGATGTAATTATATTATCATTTTTTATTTATTTCATTTTTTTATATTAATATAACCTATAATTGTGGTTACTTGAAACAGAATGAAAAATCTGTCATATTGAAGTGTAAACACATTATGTTAGAATTTATTTGAATCCTCTCCAATTATCGTATGCATGGAGAGTAAATTTATTTAACCCCAACCATAGAATCATTTTGATGGCTAAATTAGCTTTTCAAAATTATAATGGTTTTGGAAAAACCGAAAAAGTAAGTAGAATCAACTTATCCGGTCAAAGGGAATTGAATGGCTGGTGTACACCAGTAAATACTTGTGAAGGTATCCGTTTGTAGGTATCTTATAGGTCGCTCTCGGGTCAAGCAAAAGGAGGATTCACTCCAGTCTTAGGTTAACCTGTTTGAGGGACTCGCTTAGGAGCTGGAAGGAGCATAGCGAACCAGGAAAGGTTTCAACCTCCGAACGATTGCCTCCTCTCCAGGAGACACCGTCCTTAGAATTTCCTTACCCAACTAGACAATTCTTTATCCATCTAAGCCAGAGTTAAGATGCTTCTACTCGTTCTTCCTAGGAGCTATGAAGATCTGACATTCCTCTCCCAAAGATCTCATCTTATTGCACCATTAAAAGCTCCCCTCAGGCACCACTATGATTATATCAACATCTCTCATCCGTTACATCTGGACGACACTCGCCCACTTTTTAATTTCAGCGGGAGGATCTCCATCTGTCATTGCCCACCATCCAACTTGCCTTATCTAATCTTGTCGATCAGCTTGGCACCAATAAGTCATGAGTACGGATCGATGGGACAACTACATGTTAAAGCTTCACCCTCCTTTCCTTTGGAACCTTATAAAAAGAGGGCGGAAAAAGGAGGGAAGGAGGATTGGCACACTACTCCATCGTTTCCAAATTATAACTTTGGCTCCATAATTTAGAGTCCGATTTCCTCATTTTACTTATATCTCTTGCTTGGATAATAAAGACTTTACATATATTCCCTTCACCTCTCAAATGCTTATTTCTTCTCCTTTCTTTTGGATACTTATAAAAAGGGGGCGGAAAAAGGAGGGAAGGAGGATTGGGACCCCAAAAGGAATAATAGGGGAAATATTCTTTGAAAAGCATTGTATCATCCCCTTCATCTTCAAATTGTATTACTTTGGCTCCATAATTGAGAGCCCGATTTCCTCATTTTTTTTCTCTCTTGTTTGGATAACAAAAACTTACATATATTCCCTACACCTCTCGAATGCTTAGTTCTTCTCCTCTTTCTATATTCGGGCTTGTCCTCAGTTGATCCGTGTCCCGACATCATCCATTGAACAAAACAAGATTCAACAATTGAAATGGGAGAATTATAGCCTCCAATTACCGTTGTAATTGGAGAGGATGTGTCCCCTGGTTTTTATTGTGTATCGGTCTGTTTGACTTCACTACACATTGATGAAAGTTAAATCATAATTGATTGTTTTGGGTTATGGAAAGTATTAGGGCCTTTGATAGTTGCTTGACCTGTAATCATGTGTCCATTAGTCTTGACATCACTCGACTATTATTTCTAAACCAGCACTGCTGTGGAAAACGTTACAAATTCAGAAGTTGTGTTGGCTTGAATTTGTTTGGATGGAAGTGTTTAAAAGTAGTTGGCGTTTTGTTCAAAAAATGACTTCTATTGAAATTTTTTAAGCTTTCTTTATTTTTCTTGAACTCATTTATGAACCCAACCCCTGAGCTTATTTTAGGTGAAGTGAATTTTATTTTTTTTCCTTACGTCCCCCATTAGCTTGATATTATTTTATTATTACAAATTAGGTTGTAATAGATCTTCCAGTTAACTTTTTGATTTGTTACGTAATAGAAATCGGATACAATTTCTTCGAAATCAGCAAATGACAATAATAAGTTAGGAAGAACACATCAAAACTATTTTTATTGCAAAATATATGAAAGAATATAGCAAGATACAATTGGATATTCGATTAGAGAGGAAGATCCGGCTCTCCTAAATCCCTAGCCGGCGGCTAGATCCCTCACAACCTAAGAAATTCTAATTTCAGCAAACTAAAAACATAATCTTGAAATCACCCTATCGTTAGCCTTAAATAGGCTCCTATAATTTCCTCGCAAATCAGCCCCTTTCCCTTAATAATTCACTCTCATTTTTTAATTCAAATTAGATTTATTTCCCTAATTAATTCTCTCTCAATTGTAATTTAACTTTTCCTAAACAACCCCCTTAATTTCTCCTCCTTTTCCCTAAATAATTCTCTTTTAGATTTTGAATTCAAATTAAATATCTTGCCCGAAATAATTCCTTCCCAATAATAATTAAAACATTCCTAAATAGTTGATCTTTGATTAAGAACCTTCCTAAACAGTTCCTCTTGATTAGAAATTTTTTTAATTTCTTCCAAATCAAATCAGCCGATCCATCATTATGATTATATGAAATAGTTAAAAACTGAATGTGGCTTTATAAGTTCTCATAATTGAAACTTTTTTTCTTGCATTTATGGAGGTGAGTTTCAAAATAGAAGCTCAGGTTCATCCATTTTCTGCCAAACAAATAATTTATTGATAATATTGTGTGACCCGCATTTCTTTTCTTAAGCATTGGTCTTCATTATTAGGAATTCCACAATCACATTTCATTATGTTATGTGATATGACATTGGAAAAAAAATTAATTGATAGTGTTCAATTTGCGTATTTAGAATGACTCAAGTACTCAATGCCTACTCATGAGATGCTATCATTCTTATATTCATACATTGTACAAGATATCAATTTAATATCTATGCATTCACTAAAGTCTAAACTTATATTGGGATATTCAGATGGAAGATCACAGCAGGTGAAAAGCAGTACCGATGGAAACAATGATGAGTGGCAGTCCGAGGATGATGTGCAGGGTACATAAGCTTATGCTTACTCAAAACAGAAATAATTGGCATTCTGAGAATGATGTGCAGCAGCTTATGCTCATTCAAATAGAAATCATTGCTAGCAAGATCATAGAAGTGGCTGAATCTAACTGGAAATTATTCTGTGCGGACACCGAATGCCGTACAGAGACCAACTAAAATGCGCCACATCACCTCTTGCTCGGTAGTTGGCTCAGTACTGCGGCTCAGTACCACTCGGTACTGCTGACGTGGCATATTCTGATTGGTCTCCGAACGATAAACTACGTTCGGCGTCCGCAGTTAATAATTTCTTGAATCAAACCGTCTTAATAGCATCACATAACCATATCACAAGAAAAGCAATGACTTCTTGCAAATAGAACTCGAATGAGGCCAATGCTGAGCAAGCAATGATAGTTTTGATGAAGGTGCTTTGATGAACCTTCGTTATTCTCTTTATGAGCTAGCAGACTGTGGGAGAATGAAAGGTAAAAGATTCAACTCTGTTATTAGGCATTTATGATGGGCACTTTTACTTGATCAAGAGAGTAAGGTTTCGTTTGGGATTGCTTTCTTACTGCTTCTTAAATCAATTTTTTAGTTTAAATTTTTTATTTTTTTACAAAAAAATTGATTTAAAAAGTAGTAAAAAAATCGTCCAAATGAACCCTCATACTCTCTTGATATTATCATACAAATCAGACAAATCAATTAGCCCATCCAACCTTTAGTTAGTCTTAACTTTTTCTTATTATTATGTAATTGTTAACCATCATTATGTGCCTGCTGTTTCAGATCTGAATCATCTAGGAATCAGCAATCAGTCCTAGACGAAGCAAGAATCAGTTGCTCAGAAAGAAGATTTGACTCTGAAGAAATTGAACAGAGAAAAAAAGAACCCATTATCAAAGGAAATTCAGTTCATCTTAAATCTTACAAGAACGGTTCTGGAACTAATGAGCCCATCCATCCCCACGCAGTGACATTTACTCCCAGAGAATGTAGATATTGATGCCAGTCAAGTGGAATTTATGCCAAATCAACAAGAGCCCGTCTTAGAGAAGGTCAGGCCAAAGCAACAGTACTTACTTTTGAGCTTATTTGTCTGCTTTAGCGAATTGACAGCCCTAAGTCCATCCATCCCCACGCAGTGTCATTTACTCCCAGAGAATGTAGATATTGATGCCAGTTAAGTGGAATTTATGCCAAATCAACAAGAGCCTGTCTTAGAGAAGGTCAGGCCAAAGCAACAGTACTTACTTTTGAGCTTATTTGTCTGCTTTAGTTTTGAAATCAAATTTTGAGAATTGATCAAATTTGATGAATCCGTTTATTGGAGCTTTGTTTGGGATTTTTTTTTACTGGTTTTTAGTTCAAAAAAAAATTTATCCGAAAAAGTTGTCTTATAAAATAGTTAGAAAATTATCGCAAACGAAACATAGAATGTTATTAGGCTCCAACATATATGTCAAACTTTGTAAACATAAAGCTTTTCTGTTGAAGAAGCTCTAGTCGAATAGCCATTTACCACCAAAATGTGAATACGCAGCTGTAAATTTAAGCCAGATCATTGTATTTTTTTTAATTGTAGTAGTCTAGTTCTAGATTTATTCTTTTGCAAGCAAGTAGAAAAAGCATAATTATAAGTTATGATGTATCAATAAGCCTTTATTAATAAAAATTTTAAGTTCGAATTTTACATATATATGATGTATGGGTAAGTTTATTTTAATTGATTCAAAAGTAAAGAAAAAAAAAATTGAAATTGTGTGGGCTTGTACATGGACAGAAATTTTAAATAAGGTATCCAGAACATGGATCCACCCTAACGAAGAATGAAGAATGTCAAATGTTATCTGAAGATCAATTAGAATGCACGACGTCACCCCTTTGCTCGGTATTGTGATTGAATACTGCTTGGTACTGCGGCTCGATGTCACTGATGTGACACATTCTGCGTCCGATCTACATACAAAATAATTTCTCCTGGCGAAACAACTAAGCAACAAAGGAAGAGGGCCACCAATGTAATCCAAACTTAATATGCAAATAGGGTTGAATCTCGTCATTTGTATATAAGAATAGTCAACAGAAGTGATAAGCTAGTGAAGCCCAAATAAGCCAATTTGTGATATATCTCCCATCTACAAAGCTTAGCTTTCAGAGAGTTTCTCAGTTTGGGCCTGACGAAAAAGTTGGCGCCCAATGTATATTATTTTTAGGCTAGTTGGGGGATTCAATTCCGGATGAGATGGGAGAAATTTCTTCTCTTAACCACTTGGCCTCAAACCCGATCTCCCTAGATATATTTTTTGGGAGAACTGATTAGCAAACAAAATTCCTGGCAAGCTTTTACTGAAAGGCTGCAGTTTAACCATTGTTTGTGTTTCCCACCATATTTCTGATGAAATTTTCAGAAAATACTACTTGGTTAGTATACAACAAGTAATTTAACTGAAAATTGAAGCTCAAATAAAATTTTCAAAAATTTTCAAGGCTAAAGAAAATCATGGAAGATGGTGTTTAGACCAAGCTTCCATCACAGTCACAGAATGCCATTAAACTAATTTAGTTTCTGATAAGCTTCTAACAATGGCATCAAACAAATTATCTTCAGCTTTACTTCAAAAAATAACATATATCAACAAAATATTATGAAATTCATTCAATCCAATATCTGATAATCAACATTTATTCAATAATTAAACAATTAAGATGCTCTCATATTGGGATTCTTCATTACTTGTTCCCCCCTAGCAGCAACAAGCAGAAAACATGTCCAACCTTGGAAAGATAGTCGAATTGTTGGTCTGAGGAACTACATGCGTGACCTTGAACTCTTTGAAGATGATGGACCAGCCAAGCTCTGCAGAAGGTTAATTTAGAGTGAGTAAAGTAATATAATGGCATGGCTCACAAAATTTCAGGAAGCTGCACAATGCATACAATGAAAAATTAAGGTACATCAAAAACCTCTAAAATGCGAAGCCTATGACTGGGCCATTTCATAATAAATAATAGGGGGATTTACATAGATACCATTTTATTTTATGTTATTTACATATCTAATACTTAAAATTTTAATATTATGTCTACCATTCATAGAACAAATATGGGTACATTGAGTGAAATATTAAAATTTATAGGGTGGTATGGACGGTAAGAATGAAATATATGAGTGATATATATTTGATATTAAAATTTTATATGAGTGATAGGAATGTAATATTAAAATTTTGAGTGTTAGATATGTAAATAGCATGAAATAAAATAGTATGCATGTAAATCCCCTTAAATAATATTATGTTTTTTGGGGTGATTATATGTAGTTTTATATTTATTTATATAGCATCATAATACTTAAATGACATAAAAAATGACCACTAATATTAATATATTTAAAACAAAATAAAATTTTTTATACATATGTTTTGACGTCGTGTAGATACCTAGGATGTAAAGAAACCATTACAAGCTACACAAAGACAAAAGCTAAAGCTAAAAAAAAAAACGAGTACCAGTGGAAGGCCTTTCTTAGCTCTTTCTTCCAAGTATTGTGATGGTGTGAAGAATCCACCATAGGAACCTGCCCAGCTTGTTAGCTTGGAATAAATATAACTAGATCCAATTGTATCAGCCCAGAATAACAGACCGCCCCTGCTTATAAATCAGTGTCAGCCCAGGTAAAGACACTGAAATCTGAAGACTCATAGATATTGGATATAAAATATGGCCATGTCAAACAGTAATGTGTGTTTATAAATACATTTTCAAAAACAAGTGCTACTTGAAGAAAATGCAAGTATAAAGATATAGCTTTAACCAATCTAGCGATAACTTATATTTCCACATAAGCTTGCAAACAAAATGAATATGAGTACATGCAACAATCAAAAGAAATAATGTGAAAAAATATAAGCTTCCACTATGACAATCATCATCATCAACAACATCCCAAACATAGTTAGGTGGTCAGTTTTGTGTATCCATCACATATCAATCTTGTCAACAGCTGAATTTGGTTTTATAGTTGTAACATAGCTAAGTTCTTTCATAGACCAAGCCATTAGAGCACTTACTTTCGATTACAACTTTAGCATTAGTTTCATCAACAAAGTATATGTTATATTTATCGTGATCCTCCCTATATATACTTATATCATGTCTATCTATTTATATCATCATGTACTAATTGTATATAACATGTATCATGATAACTGATAGCTGATTATATCTTTTTGCTTTAGTCATGAATGTTCTTTCTAGACATTTGTAAGAGAATGTACCCTGGTGTATACTTTTTGTTGATGGTATTCTTCTTGTTGATAAGACTAGAGAGGGAGTTGAAGGAAACTTAAATTTGGAGGTCAAGTCAATAGGCTTTCGTTCGAGTAGATCTAAAGCCGAATACATAGAGCATAATTTTAGTAGTAATATATCTAATGAGGGGATTGTGACTTTTGGCCGATCAAATCATTAAAAAGGGTACATGTTTAAGATATCTCAGGTCTATTGTTCAAATTGATGGTGAAATAAATGGAGATATTATTAGTAGAATTCAAGTAAGATAGTTGAAGTGGAGGAATGCAATGGGCATGTTGTGTGATAGAAAAGTACCACTCAAACTTAAGGGAATATTCTATAAGATGATGGTGACACTTGCAATACTTTATGACACAGATGTTGGCCATTAAAAGAGAAGCATAAAATTAAGTTTTAGAGACGAGGATGCTAGGTGGATGGGGGTGTCTTTACTCTTAGAGACATAATGTGAAACGAATATATACATGAAAAGGTTGGAGCGACTCCAGTGGCAGAGAGGTTTAGAGAGTCGCCTTAGTTGGTTTGTTCACCTAAAACATTGGTCTTCCGATGACCAGATTAGGAGAGTAGATGCACTATATTTGACATATTTTAAGAAAGGTAGAGGTAGACCTAAAAATACTTGGTTAGAAAATATTAGAAATAATATTTTTTATTAGATTTAAATGAGAATTTGACTTTTAACAGGACACGATGGAGAAACAAGAATTCATGTAACCGACTTTATGTAGCGGGATAAAGACTTGATGTTAATGTTGATGGTGGTAATGGCGGTGAACATTATTGTACCATATTTTAGAACATAATTGCAAAATTTTTACTACCAATGATTAATAGTCAACCTCAATTGCAATATCTACAATAAAAGATTATTTCAAGTCGTCAAATAGTTAGGACAGGGATACCAAAAAGTGTCATTTTTTATCACATCAAGTGGTGGGCATCCTTAAATAAAAAGAAAAAGAAAAAAAAAAAGTGGCGGGCATCCTTCATGCCTACGTTACTCCATTTTCGTTCTTAAAATATGTTGCTAGTCTAAAATTCCCTACAGCCCATCATTCTGTTACCATAATAAACTGACCTTTTGAGGGAGTTTTTCCGTAGAGAAGTTGAACTTGCTAAGCTACCTATCTGTGTGTCTGTCAGTTTGATGTTCATGCACTCTGTGATGAATGCTTCGGCAAGGTTAGAAGTACATAAAAGGCACAGCTATCATGAGTCATGAGCAAGTTTGCACCTCTTTTTGCATTTATGATGCTTCAGTTCCAGCCAACAAACATAAGTCATGGTAATATTTCCTAATATTTCCTAATTTCTCCAAGTTTGAAAGGTGAAAGTAACGAACAGTGAAATTTAAAGAAGTTAGTATTTTACAACCGCACTGACTTCTGCCTAACACGACCTTCAAAATGGCATTATGACACATTAATTTCAGGGTATATCTACAGAAAAGTCACATGCAGAGTAATCTCACCTATGTTTAGGGAAGCCCATTCCAAGTATAGATGCAATATCAACATCAGAAGCTCGTACAACAATTTGTTCAGCCATTACTCTACATGCCTCATTGACGACCGGAAAAAATATCATCTCCACAATTTCTTGGTCAGTAACAGTTATGGGCTAAAAGAAACATAATTTAAACTTGTTAGTACACTTTGATTATCAAAGAGAAACCAAAACAGAAAATCCTAGTTTTATGTATATTATCTCCTTGATTATATTTCTTCTTTTTTTTTTAATGTTATTTAGGCAAATAGAGTGTTGTGGGAAGTAACCTTTCCACTGAGCATCATGCCAGCACGCCTTCTAGATTCGTCGATAATAGCTTGTACAGAAGAATCAGGTTCCAGCTTGTTCCCAGGTTTATATAAGTAATAACCCCTTCCATTAGCCTTCCCTGTCAAATAAAAAGCGCACATTTATGATTCTACAATACATATTGAAAATATATTGAGAATTCTTTCGAACTTTACCGTTTCGACCATCGTCTACCATCAACTCAAGCATCTCTGACTCAAAAGTCCGGCCCTTGAAGGCTGAAGAAAATATAGGCTTAATTGCCAAAGCCACACCATATCCAGCCAAGTCTTGAAGTCTATTAGCGAACAAAAGCACAAAAGCATAACAGTATATTAGAACATATAAATAAGCATTGTGTGCATAAACTTACAAGCAAATACCAGGCATTACACTAAGCGTGCTTACTGTCCTTGAGGTTCTACTAGAAATTGAAGCTTAATTATTTTAAGTTAAATGCGCCTTTATTACATCACTTAAGTCCAAGCTCAACTAAATTTGAGTCTTCCTTAAGTTTAATTAGCCAATCCAAATGGCTAAGCAACTTAAATTGAGCTTCATCGAGCTCAATTAGCTGAATCGAGCCAACCAATGCCTATTTGGTTCAGGCATAACCCTACCCATTGGAGTCTTCAAATAGTTCACTTGATTTGCTCACACATTTTTCCAAATTAGTCCAGTGGATGGTAGTGCAAGCAGAAGTAACTGAATACCATGGTTCCATCTCCTTATTTACTCGATCGCTTGGCTACCTTAAGAGCTATAGGCTATCAAGGGCAATCTACAAACATCCCATCCATCGACCGATAATGAACCAAGGGTTTAATGGTGATGTAACACATGGAGGTGGATCTATCAGTAGATAAAGGGCAACAACATATAAAGCTCAAGTCATGATGGAGCCATAATGATTTACATAATTTCATATTTTCATTTGTATGTATTGTATGTGGGTAAAGACTTGGCATTATGTGGAAGTTATATGTCAATGTGCTACTTTATATATAAAATGGCTAGGGAGAGTATATATGAAGTGGTTATGGAGTGATGTGGCCGACCAAGCAAGTGCTAGGGGCTGTACTGTACTGCCAAACATGAAGGAGGGAGTAGTTAGGGTGGTTGCACATATGGGACACCCCTCCCTCCTCTCTTTTCCCTCATTTGTTTTGATTTTCAAATGAAGGTATATGTTCTTCACTTGATTTTCATTTGTATAAAATGTTATAAGACTGAAATGAAGATAGATTTGGTTTGTTTACAAGTTTTGAAGAAAATTTCCAAGAAGCTTAGAGGCTTGGTGGCCAGCCAACTCAAGGAGATTGGGTGATCTTCTTGAACCCTACATTGGTGAGTAGGGCTTTTTTATTTCCTGCTCTTTCTTTACTATAATTTTCTTTATTTGTGTTCTTCTCTTAGTATTCCATTCTAGAAAATTCTCAAATCCCATTTTGTCCTTCTTAATCAAAGTAAAATTGCCCATAGTTAGTATTGTCCAAGTTTTCTAGAATTGTTGGACCAGTTCCATTCTTCAAAGCATTTGACAAACTTAAATTTGCTCAAAACCCCACTAAAATCCCCAAATCATTATTAAGTATTCTATACTTTAACAATCCTAAATTTATGTAAGATTATTTTAGTCAAAATTCTGAATATCCACTCAACCCTAGTTATATTTCTTGTTTGTTATTTAAGTTAGTTATATTTTTTGTTTGTTGTTTAAGTTTAGCTGCTTGTCTCTATTCAACAAAACAACAATAACATTAAGCTTTTATCTCACTATCTGGGGTCGACTATATGAATATTTTTTCTCCATTATATCATATTAAAAGTCAAATTCTCATTTAAATCTAATTAAAAAAATATCATTTCTAATATTTTCTAACCAAGCCTTTTTAGTTCTACATCTATCTTTCTTAACATAAGCTAGATCTAATACATCTACTCTTCTAATCAAATCATCGGAAGGCTGATGGTTTATGTGACCAAACCATCTAAAGTGAAGCTACTCCAACTTTACCCATATATACTTATTTTACATCCTGTCTCTAAGTGTAAAGCTAGTCAAGAGGAACCTATATAGAATTAGATTTCAGTGATTTCCCACCACAAATCTCAAAATCACCCAAGAGGATTAGCAAGAACAATGTAGTAATGGATGAAATAGGGAACAAAATAGCAAGATACAATTGATTCTTAATTCAAGAGGATGATCTATCTTTCCCAATTCTCTAGACGTCACTAGAGCTCAAGCAAACATAAGCACCAAAACAAAATTCAGCAAAGTACAAGATACATAACCCTAGAGCAAACCCTATATTTAAAGCATAGAAATAACAAGGCAAATTACTAAACATCCCACTCCTACATTAACTGCTTCCTTAACTATCCCTTCGAAAAAATTTCAAATAGTGGCCCCCAGCCAAGGGGGGGCGGGCTGGAGTAGAGGTGAACTCTTAGTCTGCCTGGAGTAAACAAGAGTCGGCTAGACCGATCCCACCTAGACCGGTCTAGCACACTACTCCCTACTCGATTTCTCCCATTTTACGAAGCTAGACGGAACGAAATAGAGTTATCCTTCGTGAGGAGTCACAACTTTTCACATATGATTACATTGCTTCACTTATTCACGCGTTCGGACTTGCCACTGCCTGCCCGTGCTCGTCCGCGATTCGCCCACTTGCGTACCTACTAGCGTCCACACTTTAGTTTGGGCTGGTTCAATTGAACCGGTCCAAACGGTTCTTCCATATGCACTCATATATTTTCCTTATCATAATAAAAAATTAGTCTTTCATGGTCTTTGTTCAAGTGCAAGACCCAAGATTTCAATTATGTTATCTTTATTATTTCCAATTTCCCGTCCTTTTCCCTTTCTCTAACTATTCAATTATTTTTCCTTGTTTCAACTGAAGCCATTCATCCTAATCTATAAGGCCACCGCACTGCTAGCCTGTATCAGATATCTAATTCAAGTGTGACAATCAACTCATCAACTTTTTTATGATATTTGTATTGTCATAAGCAGCCCTTAATTTCAACGCACCAGCAAATGATCAAATATAAATTAGGATGAATGAGATGCAACAAAAAACTTTATTATATTTACTATATAGCTAGGAAACATTCAAGACAGCTTAAGAACTGGAGCAACTTACTGAAAAGGACCCATTGGCATGCCAAAGCCGCTAATCACCCGATCAATTCTATAAAGATCAACTCCAAGATGTACCAGTAATTTTGCTGCTTGGCTATATGGAAAGAAGGTCCGATTGACAGCAAAGCCCGTGCAGTTTCCAACCACAACAGGAACTTTTTTTATGACCTTCCCAACATTCATGACATCCAGAACGACTTGTGGAGATGTCTTTTCTGTGCGAACAATTTCCAGCAGCGGCATTACATGAGCAGGGCTGCAAAATTAATAATTGAGATAGTTTAGTAAGTTGCAACAAAAAAGAGGGCAAGCGTTTATTTTGGCGTTATAATTAATTAGTAGAGCACCGCATACAAAGAAACTTTTAAAGATAAAAGGGAATGCTCCAATTAACATGAAAATCGTGAAAAATTATGGACTGATCTTTTTTTACTGTTTGGTACCTAAAAAATAACAAGAATGAGTCAATATTGCAAGAAGATTAAGTATATAGATGTGATGAGTTTAAATATCTTGGATCTACAGTATAGAAGAATAAGAATATAATTCTGTAGTTAATACTAGGTAATTAAAATAAAAAAATGATTTTTGAATCTTAAGTGATAGAGAGAATATTGTGGAGATTTAATAAAATTGTAATAGGATAGCCAATGCCATATAGATCCACATATCGGGCAATGAATGAATCACCTATTTTAATTTATTTTGTGCAGCGAGAAAGAATATTGGAGCCTTGGAGGTAAACAATGCAATTTAATTAGGCATTCCAATTTTTTATAGAATATAATATGAGATGCAATTAGAAATGTAAGTTCTTAATCTAGAGACATTCCAATTTATCTTTGACAATGTTCGATGCGATCGGCCTTGTCTATGACGATCAAGAGACGTTCCGATTTGTCTTTGAAGATGTTTGATGCGTTTGGCCTTGTCTTTGATGTTTGATGCGTTTGACGTTACCTGTGAGAATGTTTGACTTCTCTAAGGTTAAGTTTGATATTATTTAACACTGTTAATCTTGTTTTGGATAGTGGAAGAATTGAGCAGTATAGTCTGAGGCAAAATATCAAAAGTAAACAAGTGTTTTCAGGGAAGTCTAGGTAACTGATAAATATATTAATGAAAAATTTAATTTTAAATTTAATGAAAATATAATTCTAAAATAGTCGTGTAGATTGACAAAATTGTGTATCTAATGGTTAGCTTGTCAATTGAGGGATATTTAATTATTTAAGAAACTTTGAAGTAGAGTTTCAAACTTCCAAAAAAAAGTGAGATGGAGGATTACATTTTATATAATACCAATTACAGTTTTATTATTGATTCTGTGCATTTATTTATACAAAATTTTATATGTATGCTTGTTAATTTTAGTCACATCGTTTTACATTAAAATCAGAAAAAAAAATAGTAAATGACCTGTAACTCAATATGTACATATTAAATGGGATTGCATTATATTAAAGTTGATAGGTAAATGAAAATGAGAAGGATAAACAATGACATTAAATAAAAATTAATGAAATGAAAAATGTATATGTATGTAAATATATGAGTTCATCTACTTGGGGTACACATGCACAAATGAAAAAAGTTGAAAATGAATATAGAAATGGTTGTACCTCCATTGGTACAAAATTTAAACATTACTCCTAAAATAAATGAATGATTAGAAGTTAAAATTGGACAATTGAAATACTAAAGAATATTCATATAATTTATGATCAACAATACTCATGTTTATATTATTATTAAATGAAAAGTTTAATGATATAAAATGACTAGTCATATACTATATCATAAAACTATACTTAACCACTGAATTTGATGATGAAAACATAACCCACTAAATTAAACATTTTAAATAAATCATCAATTGAATAAATGACTGACAAAGTAGGCTTTGTGTATAAAAGAAGAGGTTCAACTAAAAATAAGTATGAACTATTATATATATATATATATATATATATATATATATGTATGTGTGTGTGTGTGTTTAAATTGGTGAATGATGATGAGTGGGCTCTTTCAAAAATTTAAGATGTTATTTTATTTGATTGTTTAGTTAAAAATAAAAGAATTAATTTATAGTCACACTTTTGTTCCCGACTTCATATTCCAAGTAATCAGGCCAAGTCACAACAAATCTATTAAAGAATTAAATATATTTTGTGACAATTTAGTCAGATAAATTTTCTACTCGATCCTGAGTTGAAAGAGAAGTTAGGAGAGGTTTGGATAGGAAATGTGTCTGCCTAGATTATACACTTTTTTATATCTCATGGTTGACTAGTGAAAGGTCAAAAAAGAGTGACATGATTTTCTCCAAAAGATGAGATAAAAAATCAATCCAAATTAGTTTAAAATGGCCAGGCCAATGAGAAAATCTAAATGACCATTGCAACTATTAGCATATCTTTTCCTAATTGAAACTGTCATTAAAATCCCCACACAAAATCTATTGATGGGAACACTCCACCAATCTAGAAGCTAATGAGACTAATAATACTATAATTCCAATTCCAAATAACGCCCACTTATTGTCGAAAAGAATTCTATTATTTAATCATGAGTACCAATCTAGATGCCACCTCCAATAGACCTTAGTATAGAAATAAATGGATGTTCTACCATAGTTTCTTGATGCAAATAATATCAAGCCATTCTCCTACAACTCGTCCTCTAACCATTATCCTCGAAATCTTAAAAGCAACCCCTAAAATTCCATGTTCCAATGATCTTCACAATAGAAAGAACTACCAATATCACAATAATTACTTCGGATACAAAAATACCATTAAGTCTCCTTACAAGACTCCACCCTTTTTACACTTCAGAATAATCCCGTTATCATTCAAAAGAGAATTAACATTTAGTTCAGACCAAGCTAAGGAATCAGAATTGATTCTTTGCACATAAAAATCATTCTATCCCCTGCTGCATGCAGCATTGTCTGTTCTTGCATTAATAAACGGTAATGAACTTTCTCCTGAAATACCGCTCCAACAATCAATATATGTCATCAACTATTGATGGGATTCCCCTTAAAATCAAATGTTGTGACAATTAGCATTGCTTTTATTAGTTTCCAAGAATCTTACTAAAAAAATAAAATTACAAGATATACGAACTAGAATTGAGATAGAAATGTCCAAAGTAAAGAAAGTGTGATATTACATTTTCCTAGTTTAGTTGTGGTCGAATTGCTCCAATATAACCTATATTCTTTGATTTTAGTATTCCCCTTCCCATTGAACATTCAATTTATAACAAAACAATTTCTATTTTGTAAAGTTGCTAAATATTCTAGCTATAATATGGAAACACTTCGAGAAAAAATGACCTGAAGAAATGTGCTCCCACAATGCGATCTTGAGAGTTTGTCTTCTCTCCAACAATCTCCAAATCAATGGTGGACGTATTGGAGGCGAGAATACAATGTGGAGGACAAATCTTCTCAATATCATTGAATATGGACTGTTTAAGTGGAATCTTCTCAATAACAGCCTAAAAGATGTTGCAACGCTTTTAGGATAATCTTCAGGAAGAAATTTTATATATGGAAAAAGAGGAATTTAAGTGAATCAAGTAAGCAACAAAAGAGGTAGAAATTAAAAATTGGCTGATTTTGAATACAAAATGTTAATTTTCAAAACATAATGAGATTAGGGATCACCCATCACATAATCAAATTTTCTAACATGGACTTATTGGCAAGAAAACGTACATTAGAGACGTTTCTCTTTTCAAATTTGTCATGAAAAAAAGCGATCAAAACTCTACCTCAATAACCATATCTACATCCCTGAAGTCTGAGTAATCTAGAACACCCTTAAGATTTGACAACACCTTGCTTTTTTTATCCAGAGTTAACGATCCTTTCTTCACCAATCCATCAAGGTTAGCTGAAAGAAAATCCATTGCCATAATGAAGAACATTAATGAAAATACACATGGCAGGACTTATAGATTATCAAACAAAATCATAAAGTTTAATAAAACTAATATGAGTCACATAACTAGAAGAAGGTAAATCTCTCTATCTGAGAAATGTTAAACCATTATGTAGAAAGATAACATATATACAAAGTGGAACACAAGTTGAGCAGATATATCACTAATTAAGAGTTCATACCAGCTATTGATTTCATTCCCCGTTGAAGAAAGGTAGAATCAATTTCCTTTAAAATAACATGTATATCACCTAGAAGAAAAGCTGTAGCTATTCCAGAACCCATCAAACCACCACCAATAACAGCAACTTTTTTAATATGCCTTGGTTTGAGCCCGATATCAGTAACCTTGGGCACCTATCCAAAGCAACACATGCATAAAATAAGGAAAACAAAGTCAGAAAAGGTTCGTTTAGATGTAAATTCAAACGGATAGCTCCAGAATCTTCTTTCTGCATCTTGTATTCATTTTAATCTAGTTAACTTTCGAAGTACATGATGGCCAACACAAGTATGAGATTAAAAGCTACAAATAACAACGGGATTAACTGCATAAAATTGATGGACATAAATAGAAATCATGACCACTTGGATAAAACATTAAGGAACTACTTTTTGACGCTGTTAGGGAAAATGTACCAGAAAATAGCTTAAAAGCTTGTAATAAAATAAGTTAAGATTCACAGAAGTTTATAGTAAAAACTTACAGTACATATCCACAAAGAATGTGATGCGGACATCGGCACGAAGATTTGGCACATCTATCACAGGAGGCGTCGTAAATCGACGGCTCTAATTTAAATTGTCATTTATGTGTTATTTTATGAATTGTAGCTGTTATTTTATCCTATTTCCTGTTTTACCGCTAGGATAGTTTATGTGAGTGTTATGGCCCAAGGGGCAATTTTGTAATTTTTTATTTTCTCATGTTGTGGCCTATATATAGGGCCTTTAGCTATTGTAATGGGGATGAATTATTGATATGAAAAATTGTTTTCCACACTTGTGTTCTTCTTGTGAGAGAGCGTTAGTAAAATTCCTATGGAGAGGAATCAGAGTCTTCACCAGCCGCAGGATGGGTCCGGGCTTGTGAATTGAAGTCCCTTGGAGAAGGGCAAAGCATCACCCGTCAGTCGTCGGAAGAGTCCGAGGCTCGCGGTTCTTGTCTTCTATCTTTCGTTTTATCTTTGTTTTTGTTTTCTTTATTTTACTACTCCCCGTAGTCGTTTGTCATCTTTCCTCCTCCCCGCTCAAACCCTTGGCCAAAACTCCATACCAAGCTCCACAAATTTTTCCCCATAGCCGCCGGCCACTTTCACCCGATCCCACCCTCTTGGCCGCCGGCTCCAATGCTCTAGCCGCCGGTCAACCTCCCCCTCCTCCCATCTCCGCGTACCATCAAGACTTTCCTAAATTGGTTTGCATATCTTAGGTAACTCTATTAATTTCAAATTCAAATTTATTTGAATTTGAAATAGTTACTTAATTTATAATCCTTACTTTAGGAAACTTGCTTAATCAAAGCTCATTTAAATTTTAAATTAAATTGGGATGATATCTTCATTCCCAAATTTAATTTATTATTTTAAAAAGCATTGATTGCCTCCATTACAGTCCCTGTGTCCCGCCTCCCCCTTAGTTGATTTCCCAAACCTATCACGGGATAATGCCCATCTTGGGAAGGAATTAGAAGGCCAAACCTGCTGTTGGCCGAACATTCAAAGCCCCAACTTTAATTCTTAATTTACTCCCTAAATCAATTAAGGGAATTTATTGAATTAAAATTCATTTAATTTTCCCCGTGGTCCCGCTGCCAGCCCCCTGGATGGATAATTAGGATTTATTTCCTAATCTCTTACTAAGCCTCTTTGGAAATAATTCCCCTGCTGCTGGCCGTGACTCTCAAAGTCCCAACCTAGGTTGTTTCTCTCCCAAATTTCCCTGTGCACCTTCAACTCTCCACTTGAGTTCTAAACCCCAAAACCCTTTATCTCCACTTCCATTCTCTCAAGAAGAAAATCTGAAGTTTCTCTCAGAATTTTT